AAGGGAGAGGAGGGGTTAGGTTTGGGTGGGGGTGAATTCTCAAAATTCGATTCGGCTGATTCGGGCGAATTCCAGTGTGAAATTCGATTCGATGTGGAATTTTCTTCGCTACGAAGATGACTTATAAAAAGGGTTTCTAGGCTTCAGAGAGCCTTTAAATTAGTGTGCAGAAACACTGTACCTTTAATTTAAATGCCCTTGGAGATAGAGGAAAGAGAAGGAGAAGGAGAAGGAAGAGAAGGATGAGAAGAAGAGAAGAAGAGGGGGAGGATGAGAAGAAGGAGAGAAGAGAAGGAGAAGGAGAAGGAGAAGAAGAAGGAGAGAGGAGAAAGGAAAAGGAGAAGGATGAAGAAGAGAAGAAGGAGAAGGAGGAGAAGGAGAAGGATGATGAGAAAGAAGGATGGAGAAGGAAGGAGAAGGAGAAGGAGAAGGATGAGAAGAAGAGAAGAGAAGGAGGAGAAGGAAGAGAGAAGGAGAAGAAGGAGAAGGATGAGAAGGAAGGAAGAAGGAGAAAGAAGGAGAAGGATGAGAAGAAGGAGAAGGAGAAGGATGAGAAGAAGATGAGAATGAGAAGAAGGATGAAGAGAAGGATGAGAAGAAGGAGAAGGATGAGAAGAAGGAGAAGGAGAAGGATGAGAAGAAGGAGAAGGAGAAGGATGAGAAGAAGGAGAAGGAGAAGGATGAGAAGGAGGAATGAGAAGGAGAAGGAGAAGGATGAGAAGGAGAAGGATGAGAAGAGGAGAGGAGAAGGATGAGAAAGAAGAGAAGGAGAAGGATGAGAAGGAGGAGAAGAAGATGAGAAGAGGAGAAGGAGAAGGATGAGAAGAAGAGAAGGAGAAGGATGAGAAGAAGGAGAAGGAGAAGGATGAGAAGAAGGAGAAGGAGAAGGATGAGAAGAAGGAGAAGGATGAGAAGAAGGAGAGAAGAAGGAGAAGGAAGAGAAGAAGGATGAGAAGAAGGAGAAGGATGAGAAGGAGAAGGAAGAAGATGAGAAGAAGGAAGAGAAGAAGGAAAGGAAGGAGAAGGGAGAAGGATGAGAAGAAGGAGAAGGATGAGAAGAAGGAGAGAAGAAGGAGAGGAGAAGAAGGAGAAGAGAAGGATGAGAAGAAGGAGAAGAAGATGAGAAGGAGAAGGATGAGAAGGAGAAGGAGAAGAGAAGGAGAAGGATGAGAAGAAGAGAAGGAGAAGGAGAGAAGAAGGAGAAGGATGAGAAGAAGGAGAAGGATGAGAAGAAGGAGAAGGAGAAGGATGAGAAGAAGGAGAAGGAGAAGGATGAAGGAGAAGGAGAAGGAGAAGGATGAGAAGAAGGAGAAGGAGAAGATGAGGAGAAGGAGAAGGATGAGAAGAAGAGAGAAGGATGAGAAGAAGGAGAAGGATGAGGAAGGAGAAGGAGAAGAGAAGGAGAAGGATGAGAAGAAGGAGAAGGAGAAGGATGAGAAGAGAGAGAAGGAGAGGATGAGAAGAAGGAAGGAGAAGGAGAAGGATGAGAAGAAGGAGAAGGAGAAGAAGAGAAGGAGAAGGATGAGAAGAAGGAGAAGGGATGAGAAGAAGGAGAAGGGATGAGAGAAGGAGAAGGAGAAGGATGAGAAGAAGGAGAAGAGATGAGAAGAAGGAGAAGGATGAAGAAGAATGAGAAGAAGGAGAAGGATGAGAGAAGGAGAAGGATGAGAAGAAGGAGAAGGATGAAGAGAAGAGAAGAAGGAGAAGGATGAGAAGAAGGAGAAGGAGAAGGAAGAGAAGAAGGATGAAGAAGAAGGATGAAGGAGAAGGATGAAGAAGAAAGGATGAGAAGAAGGATGAGAAGTGAGAGGAAGGAGAAGGAATGAGAAGAAGATGAGAAGAAGGAAGGATGAGAAGAAGAAGGACAGTTCTGTGACAGTTTCTGTCTATTTCTGACAGTTCTGGGACATTCACTCCCATACAGAAGTTGAAACATTGTATGATTTTTTTTCCATAAATGACATTCTGCAAATACACTTAGAGGAGCGCTGCAGATACACTTTTTGCGGCTTGGAATTAATCTTATTTTTCATCCTACTTCTTCTTCTTCATTCATGAGAAGATCCTCATAGAGAAGGAAAAAGAAGAAGAAAGGAGATGAAGGATGAAAAGAAGAAAGAATAATTCCAAGCCGGGCAAAAAGTGTAACTGCAGCGCTCCTCTAAGTGTATCTGCAGAATGTCATTTATGGAAAAAAATAGATACAATGTTTTCAACCGCTGTATGGAGTGAATGTCCCCAGAACTGTCATAAATAGTCTATTTCTGACAGTTCTGGGACATTCACTCCATACAGCTGTTTCAACCGCTGTATGGAGGGAATGTCATGGAACTGTCAGAAATAGACTATTAATGACAGTTCTGGGACTGTCCTTCCATACAGCGGTTGAAACATTGTATGTATTTGTTTTCCATAAATGGATCCATTTATGGAAACAAATAGATACAATTTTCAACCGCTGTATGGAAGGACAGTCCCAGAACTGTCATTAAAAATAAGATTTCCAAGCCGGCAAAAAGTGTATGTGCAGAGCTCCTCTAAGTGTATCTGCAGAGCTCCTCTAAGTGTATCTGCAGAATAGAGGAACTCTGCACATACACTTTTTGCCGGCTTGCAATTATTCTTATTTTCATCCTACTTCTTCTTCTTCTTCTTCATCTTCTTCTCCTCTTCTTCTTCTTCTGAGGATGAGATAAAGAAGAAGAAGAAAGAAGAAGAAGTAGGATGAAAATAAGATTAATTCCAAACAGGCAAAAAGTGTATGTGCAGAGCTCCTCTAAGTGTATCTGCAGAGCTCCTCTAAGTGTATCTGCAGAATAGAGGAACTCTGCACATACACTTTTTGCCGGCTTGGAAGTTCCTCTATTTCTGACAGTTCTCTCACAGCTTCTTCACATGTACAGCGGTTGAAACATCTGTATCCTAAATGGAAACTAATAGATACAAATTGTATCTATTAGTTTCCATTTAGGATACAGATGTTTCAACCGCTGTACATGTGAAGAAGCTGTGAGAGAACTGTCAGAAAATAGAGGAACTCTGCACATACACTTTTTGCCGGCTTGGAATTATTCTTCTTTTCTCATCCTACTTCTTCTTCTTCTTCTTCTTCATCATCCTCATCCTCATCCTCTTCTTCTGAGGATGAAGATGAAGAAGAAGAAGAAGTAGGATGAAAAGAAGAATAATTCCCAGAAATAGCGGAGCTCACTGCAGGGACACTTTTGCCGGCTGATCGGGAAATGTTCGATTCGCGCACCCGAAGTAGGCAAAATTTCGGTTTTGCCGCGAATCGAATATTTCCTGAAATTCGACTCGAAGATTATTTGTATTATTTATCACATTACTGAGTGAGTAGGGTTTACATCACTAGAGGGGGGAGGATTCCTTGTAGATAAATATTTTTTTGAATTGTTGCCCACCTGTCTCATGTTTTGAATCGTGTAATTTGAGATGTTATGTGGCGAAGTTTAACCACTTCCATACAGGGCACTTTTACCCCTTCCTGCCCAGGCCAATTTTCAGGTTTCAGCACGTCACACTTTGAATGCCAATTGCGCGATCATGCAACACTGTACCCAAACTAAAATTTTAGCATTTTCTTCACACAACTAGAGCTTTCTTTTGGTGGTACTTAATCACCACTGGGGTTTTTATTTTTTGCTAAATTAGCAAAAAAAAAAAAAAAAAAAAAAAGGACTGAAAACACGTTTTTCTTTGTTTCTGTTATAAAAAGTTTGCAAATAAATAATTATTCTTCATAAAATTTAGGCCACGATGTATTCTGCTACATGTTTTTGGTGAAAATAACCCAAATTAGTATTTATTATTTAGTCTGTAGGAAAGTTTAGAGTTCACAAACTATGGGATATATCTGAAAATTGATCGATCCTGAAGTACTGACAGCCAATCTAATTTCTTGAGGTCCAAGAATGTCAGAACAGTACAGATATCCACCAAATGACCCCTTTATGCAAAGTAGACAGTCTGATGTATTTCATAACAGGCATGGTGAGTTTATTGAAGTAATTTTTTATCAATTTTTCAGAACATGAATTAAAAAAATGATTTTCACTAATAATTTTTTTTACATACTGTCACCAGTGCAGCACAGCGTCATCATATAACTGGCATGGCGGCGATCTTTGCTATAAAAGCAGCATTTATCTGAATGAAATAGATTCATTCAGGTTTTTTTTTTTTGATTAGCTGTGATTTGGCCACGGGTAATAACATGACACAGCTGGGCTGTGATTGGCCCAGCTTGTGCATGTGATGCCACCCATTGTATGCAACTGTCATGTGACCTGCTGTGATTGGTCACAGCAGGTTACATGGTACTGGCAACAGGGCTGGTACACAGATCTGTCATCGGCCGTGTCCGAGGTACACGGCCGGTGACAGATTGTGCTGCAGTGCGGCCCTGCGGGCATGCGCAATACGCGCTCCGAAAAGGACACCATATGGCGTCCACCCATAGGGACGAGGTGTTCGATCGGCCGCCATGCCATCTGGCTATAGGTCGGGCAGCAACTAGTTAAGAAAAAAAAAACAAAAACACAGATAATAGTAGGATTATGGTAAGAAAACCAAAACATTTCAAAGAATATAAACAAAGGCTAAAATGGCAAACTTTACTTAGAATCTAAAATACTGTGGGAAGCCGGCTTCACCCAGTACACATGGCTGCGCTGGTGACCTGGAGACAGGCAAAGAACCAGCCCAGGTGAGGACAGAGCTGGATCCGTGGACTGGTAAGTGTCCTTTTATAAACGTCAGCAGCTACTGTATTTTTTGTTTTCCAGACTGAAGAACCTTTTTTAGTATAGGTTCACTTTCACAGAAGTTTTCCAGTCTTTGATTCCTGTGTCTTACACAGTCCTACATGTTATGATCTCCAGAATGAGTGGGACTGACAGTTTTCTTACTATCCATAATTGGCAGTAAGGGACTTACTCATATTATTCGGACCGGAAATTTAAGGAATTAACACTGCTTCCCAGTGCTCAATTCCCTATTCAGTGCCTTATTCTAAATAAATACTCACTCAATTGGTTTCCCTCGAATTTCAGTCATGATATTACTTTCTCCGCCAAGATATTCATAGCAAAGGCTTAGGAAGTTGTAGATTACAAAAGCTACAAAATAAAGTTTATGTTAATTTACTAAATAAAAGAAGGTACATAACCCAATATACAAATATATGCACACAACCTTTACACAGGATTGCAGATGACAGTGGACCACCATTTCATATGTTCCAGTTTGAGCGACACCTTCTAAAATAACATGAAACTACACCCAAGTTACTTTCAGTTTTGGCTAGACTGAAGAAAGGTAAGGACCTGTACAACACTGAGAGCCCTCCCCTCCCCCCCTCCTTATTTTTAAGGAAAACTAAATCGTAAGGAAAACTTAGAATAAAACAAATGCCACTGTAAAATTCTAACCTTAGCCTACCTTAAAAGTGAACTGTGTCAGTCAGAGCAGTAGACAGTGTCCGTAGGGCAGTGGACAGAGTCAGTAGAGCAGTGGACAGTGTCAGTAGGGCAGAGGATGTCAGTACAGCAGTACGTACGGTGTCAGTACAGCAATGGACTGCTTTTTTATTTGTATTTTTACTCACTTTTTTAAAATAATTTTTTTACAAATTTTTCTTAGAAGCCCTGTTGTGGGCGCTTTGGTGAAATATCAGGGGTCTAAACAGACCCCTGATGTCTCACTTTGAGACAAGAGAAATGGACGAAAGAACATAGACTCATTGGTCCCTTTCTCTGCAACCTCAGCTATGCTGGACAGTGAATGAATGCACAGTGCTCTGTGCTGACAGCTTCCCATTCATTCACAAACTGAAGCATAGAAAAGTTTACTATGCTTCAGTTATGAATGGACACAGTTAGTGATTACTGACTGTATTTATTCAGAAAAGGAAGGGACCTGTAAATGACACATTCACGGGTTCCTTACCCGAGCTCCATCCTGAAACCTCTCCCACAGTAGCCGGTGGGAGGGGTGCAAACCCACAGCTCTGTAGAGGGGTCCGAGCAACCCAAAGAGGAACCTGGAGGGGAGTGGCGGAATTTAGTGAAACTGATGGGAGGGAGAGGAGAAGCAAGCACTGAAAGCATTGCTGCTGCAGGGAGGAAAATACAGCCATCGGTCCCACTAAATGCCAACCTTACTCTCCAGGGATGCGATCTACCAGTCACCTGCCCACAATAAGACAGGTTGCCGACCCCTGCTGTAAGGCATTTATTGCAGTGTCACCAATGACACTGTCACTCTTCTCACCGAGCACACAAATACAAATCCAACAGAGGTTCCAACCCTTCTCTGTAGCTGTAGTCACATCACTTACCTGTAATAAAGTCCCCATGTAGTGCAGGCTGCTGCTTCATATAGAAAGCTTCTCTGCAGGGTGCCCGGCTCCTTTCCTGGTGCTGAACTAGCACAGTAAGGCTTAATAGCTTCAGGGTCTTCAAACTGAATGGCATTCAAGATAGTCCAATGAGGACTCACTCCCTCCCCCTCTCATTATCCGAGAAAAGTTGTTGCATGGTTTACACTGTGACGTGATCTCTAAATGGGTGAGAGTAGAATTCCCTCCCCCTTTCAGAGATCATGTTCCATTCATTTGTAAACAATGCACAGGCTTTTTGCAATGGGTGTGAGGGGAGTAGGGGACAGGTTACCATCAGAATGCTGTTCAGGCTGAAAACTTCATGCCATTAACCTTCCCCATGGCAGAAGTTCAGCACAAGGAAGAAGACCAGGCACCCGGCAAAAAGGATTTCTACATGGAGCAGTGACCTGCACACCATGGGGTATACTTTATTACAGGTAAGTGATGGGACTGCAGCTATAAAGGGAGAAAAATAATTTTTGACTAAACTTCACCTTTAAATCAGATAACCACTACTTAGCACAAAGGAAGATGAAACCATGTCTTCTAAACCATGACTTGCCAAACCGAATGTAAACTAGGTATCTGTGGCGACACAAAAATAATCTCTTGCACTTTGTCATCAAATATTAGCAGTTGCATGAAACATTCTTGTGCAGAAAAAAATCCTTATTTCAGTGAATACACATTTATACTGTATAGTCTAGCTGCAGAATCCACCAATGGCTTTTTGCTGAAGTGGTTGGCATGTCTGCTGGCTGAATGGAGTTACTGTATATGTGGGTGCTCTGGGTAACTCACACAAGAAGAAACACTGAGAGGTAGGTAAATGCTAGCTAAACCAACTGGATCTAGATTGTGTGGGTAAGCTTCTATGATTGTAGCAGGACATTAGATTATGCGATTCCAGGGCATAAGTAAATGGTTCTACGCACTCTGCTCATTGCTATGTAATAAGTGAGCACCATTTTAATGTGAAAATACAATAAAAACAAGTCTGTTTTTCAATGCGTAACACACAACAGATGCATACAACTCAGGCAGGCAGTAAGGAAAAGCAGAGTGTAAAAAAAAAAAAAAAAAAACACCGAAACATATGGCTCTGCCTGAACTCCCACAGTTATAATTTGCTTATTCCCAATGGAAGCTGTGTGGAAGAAATGGTACACAACAAAGCAAACAGCTATACAGAACATAAGATCAAGGACAGCAAGTAACGAACACAATGTTGGAAAGGAGCAACATCTTCTCAGTGTGCGTAGGAAATATTTAGCACTGTAAAAGCTTCTTAAAGAGGGTTAAAGAAAAACTATAGTACCCTCTGTTTGAAGTCCATAAGCAAAAATTATAAACTGGCTTAGGAGCTGAAGTGAAGAAAAGATACATACATTATATTTTATAGAGGAAAGATACTATATGTATCTACACACAGAAGACCACTCAATATTGTGCATTTGTAAGCCTCTTCGTTTACAATGTTGGATGTCATAGAACATATTTACTAGAGTAGAAGCAGTGCCCCTTATTTCAATCTACAGATGCAGGAAATTGTACATATAGATTTATAAAAAAAAAGTGTGAAAAAAAATAAGAAAGAAGAAATGGCTCTGGCAGGGTTATAAAATACAATTAACAGATCATTTTAGGGATGAAAGTTACTTAAAACCCCAAAATATTACATTTTTTGAAAGCAGAGCCCCTGGAGAATAAAAACAGTAGTTCAATTTTTTTATGTCACACGATATAAGTGCAACGGTTTATCAAGCGCAAAATGTAAAAAAAAAAATAAAAAAAAATTACACACACACACAAAAGTGAATTTCAGGGCAAACAAATGCAGTATGAACTATTATCCGATTAAGTAAAAAAGAAAAAAAAAAAAAGAAGCCAGAAAGTTCCAGTTCTGCCAGAGAAACTGGTGCAATGACACCTTGATCCAGAAGACCCAAGAGTGTTAATGGATATCTGCTAATCTGTACAGTGACACAGGAAGATTGGAATTGACAAAGCAAAGCTTCAACTCTGTAGCCCTGGGAAACTTTGCACTCAAGCATTTGGTTTTTATACAAAATCCAATCTTCTGCGCCTAAGTGCAATTTTTGACAAAAAAAAAGTTGACAGCCTTCCTTGCTAGCTTAAGCAAGATATATTAATTTAGGTGCAACACAGGCCTTGCTGTCCTCTTTGGATATGAGGGATCCTGTAAACTATAAGGAAGAACACAAGCAGCCTTGTGCATTAATTATGGCACAATTTATTTGAATATACAGTCAGGTCCATAAATATTGGGACATCGACACAATTCTAACATTTTTGGCTCTATACACCACCACAATGGATTTGAAATGAAACGAACAAGATGTGCTTTAACTGCAGACTGTCAGTTTTAATTTACATCCAAATCAGGTGAACGGTGTAGGAATTGCAACAGTTTGCATATGTGCCTCTCACTTGTTAAGGGACCAAAAGTAATGGGACAATTGGCTTCTCAGCTGTTCCATGGCCAGATTTGTGTTATTCCCTCATTATCCCAATTACAATGAGCAGATAAAAGGTCCAGAGTTCATTTCAAGTGTGTTATTTGCATTTGGAATCTGTTGCTGTCAACTCTCAAGATGAGATCCAAAGAGCTCTCACTATCAGTGAAGCAAGCCATCATTAGGCTGAAAAAACAAAACAAACCCATCAGAGAGATAGCAAAAACATTAGGCGTGGCCAAAACAACTGTTTGGAACATTCTTAAAAAGAAGGAACGCACCGGTGAGCTCAGCAACACCAAAAGACCCGGAACACCATGGAAAACTGTGGTGGATGACCGAAGAATTCTTTCCCTGGTGAAGAAAACACCCTTCACAACAGTTGGCCAGATCAAGAACACTCTCCAGGAGGTAGGTGTATATGTGTCAAAGTCAACAATCAAGAGAAGACTTCACCAGAGTGAATACAGAGGGTTCACCACAAGATGTAAACCATTCGTGAGCCTCAAAAACAGGAAGGCCAGATTAGAGTTTGCCAAACGACATCTAAAAAAGCCTTCACAGTTCTGGAACAACATCCTATGGACAGATGAGACCAAGATCAACTTGTACCAGAGTGATGGGGGAAGAGAAGAGTATGGAGAAGGAAAGGAACTGCTCATGATCCTAAGCATACTACCTCATCAGTGAAGCATGGTGGTGGTAGTGTCATGGCGTGGGCGTGTATGGCTGCCAGTGGAACTGGTTCTCTTGTATTTATTGATGATGTGACTGCTGACAAAAGCAGCAGAATGAATTCTGAAGTGTTTCGGGCAATTATCTGCTCATATTCAGCCAAATGCTTCAGAACTCATTGGACTCCACTTCACAGTGCAGATGGACAATGACCCAAAGCATACTGCAAAAGCAACCAAAAGCATTTCACTTGCTGAAGACAAAACTGAAGGGAAAATGCCCCAAGAACAAGCAGGAACTGAAGACAGTTGCAGTAGAGATCTGGCAGAGCATCACCAGGGATGAAACCCAGCATCTGGTGATGTCTATGCGTTCCAGACTTCAGGCTGTAATTGACTGCAAAGGATTTGCAACCAAGTATTAAAAAGTGAAAGTTTGATTTATGATTATTATTCTGTCCCATTACTTTTGGTCCCTTAACAAGTGGGAGGCACATATGCAAACTGTTGTAATTCCTACACCGTTCACCTGATTTGGATGTAAATACCCTCAAATTAAAGCTGACAGTCTGCAGTTAAAGCACATCTTGTTCATTTCATTTCAAATCCATTGTGGTGATGTATAGAGCCAAAAATGTTGGAATTGTGTCGATATCCCAATATTTATGGACCCGACTGTATAAAAACATCAGAACTGGTTCTATGTTGCTGATGCCTACCCAGAGTTGAGGTTCAATTCTCTTGTCCCTTGAGTTTGTTTTGCTTTATGTATTAAAGCTCTCAAATACCCAACCAGGATTGTGAGAACATTGCATCTGTAATGCAAACGTTTCAAGCATCCCCAAAGTTTAACAAACATCATCTCTATCTCTCTGGAAAGTGGGGGCTTGCCTTAATGCCAAGTAAGGATGTGCCAGACTTTGAATGTCAGTTCCACACCTTGGGGAGGTGTTTGGATTTAAAGGAGTGGAGAAGACATTTCCTTGTAGTCAGAGAGGAAAAAGACTTTACAGTCTGTTCCTCAGGCTTCTTCATCTAAGGAAGAAGAGTGTTCTTGCCACCACTAAGATCACTAAATAATACTGTCACAAGCCAGTCCAAGGAGATATTATCCCCAAAGGCCATGTGCATCAAATGCTTCCTGCACAAAGTTTCTGCAAATAACCAGGATACTTCCGATCTCCATAGAGAAACTGTTCAAAAGTGGGGTAACGTCTTTATGGCATTAGGAGTTTTAAACATGTTTTAAACAGCCCAAGGCTGGACACAGCACTCATATAAGCAATAGGTTGATCCTCATTTCAAAGCGATGTAAACTGCACCAATAAGGACCAAAATGGTCTTCTTCCCCATTAGCTGTCACAATCTGGAAAAAAAACGCAGCCGGGTGGGGCTCTGCCTACCTGGCTGCATCATCCATTTACAGCATTCTGTGAATTGGAAAAGTTCAAGTCCCGACAGCCTTTGCAGCTCTCGGTTTGAAGTTCTCAAAATTGAGTGCTGTGGTGGTTCATTCTGTCTTCCGGTCAGTGTGTATCTGCCTGTCAGTATGAGGTAAAAGCAGATAAACGGACAAGTCTGCAGGAGTCCTGCATGGTACCCATGATCTACTGATAGCGGGTGCAATGCTTTACAGACTTCAAGTAAAAAATTTAATAAATGCACATTTTATTTTACCTGCAAAAAGATTTTTTTTTTTTTTTTTTTTTTTTTAAAAGGTGAACTTATCCTTTAAAAGGTATTCTAATCCTTTCCACATCTTTGGTAGTAGGAGAGGTTATCCTGATCTGGCCTAGTTTTTTTTCTGCCAGTGTTTTTTTTTTCTATTGGTTGAAGTAGATGGACTTTTGTCTTAACATAATTTTTGCAAATCACACTGGGATGTAGTTTCAAATGGTTAGAAACATAGCAGGTTCTTTCATTTAACACCTTTGAGATTGATTATTCACACACGCACTCTAAATCTTAATCTAATATTATCACACTATTACAGCTCAATGCAAGCACAAACAGCATGGATACAATGCTATCAGTAAAAGAGGACACTGGAGAAAATCTATTGCTTAGTATGTACAATATGTGTTACATGACTTGATAATGTCATAGTGACTTTGACTGCCAAAACGCCTTAAAGAAGAGGCTGCAATAGCTGGTCACAGAGTAGAGGAAGCCCATGGAAGCAAGGGATTAAGTAAGCAAAAGAGCCATTTTAATGACACCCTGAGCATAAATGAACATTAAACCCCTGCGGTGTTGGGAAAGCCCTACTACAAGGGAGAATTTTTTTTTTCTACAAAGTTTTAAAAACCCAAATCAAAGTTGCATTATTTTACAACACACTTACCCTCATAGCAATCCCGGACTGTGTCAAAATAAACATAGTACTGGTCATTGGTGAAGAAGAGGAGGCTGAGCCACGAGTCAAAGGCATATATTGGGACAATAAAGAGAATTCGTACAATATGTCGCTGTTCATTGGGACAGCTATAGGAGCGAAGGTGCATGTAGATCTGAGGAGAAAAAAAAAAAAGAAAGGAACATTTAGGTTTACTAATTAAACATTCACTCCATGACCCATAAAAGCTTAAGTTCATCTTACCCCCCTCAAAAAAAACGTACACCTTTTTGCAGAAAAAAAAAATAAAATGTGTTTTTTTTTTTTTTTTTTTTTTTTTTTTAAAGGAGCCTGCAGAGCATTGTACCCACTGAAGCTGTTGGCAGAGTGAATGAACTCGTGCTGATCAGTGTTCATTGATACTACTGTCTGCAGTGGTGGTAGATGGGACTTGCAGTTTATTCATTCACAGAGTCCTGTGGATGAATAACACAGTCGTTCCATTTTCAAAATATGATGGTGCAGGAAGAACCCCCACCCTCTGTAAGTGAATGGGTGAGAACCTATAATTTAACCACAAGACCTTGCTGCTTTCATATTTACTGATCAACCAAAGCATCCTAAAACATATTGTGCTCTTATTTGCAATAAAGGACTTGACTGTCTCTCACCTATTGCACCTATCCTTACCCATTTGTCAGAGAGTTCTATTATGGGTACACAAGAAAATGCTTGGTGGGCAGCACTAAAGGTCTATGTTGGAAGCTAGAAGGCTTAGATTAGTCACAAAGGAGGTATTTTTATTTTAATAGATGTAATAGGCAAACTGCATTCTGTTAGTAAGCAATTTTATTTTTGCCAGTGTCCAGTTCTTCTGTAGTTATCAATATAACCTGGGGGTTAAAGGTTAAAGTACCACTTTAAAGGACAGGTTCAATCAAAATAAAAATCCTGCAACCCCTTCCACAGCCCCTCCATCTATTATAAACTAAAGCCCTCCCACCCAGCTGCTTACCTACTGCTTTCCGAAGGCTATAAAAATCTTGTCTTTGTAATGTGTTGTAATGTTACAAGTACTTGAATGGGCTAAATACTATTTGACCTATTCCTGCCCATGGTTGTTAAAGAGAACCGGTCATGTGGACTTCAATAAAATGCTAAAAGTTTAAACGAGCGCTAGGTAAATATGACAAGCAGCTAGCATGAAGGCAAAACCTCAAAATCCTTCCCATAAACCAGTAAACATATAAATGCAGCGCTATACAAAATATATAAATAAATCAATCTGTCAAACTGTATATGTGGTATAATATACATACATGCGCTCCACAGCGCATGTATTTATGATACTTTACCACATATACAGTTTGACAGATTGATTTATTTATATATTTTGTATAGCGCTGCATTTTTATGTTTATCAGTCATGTGGACTTGCCTATAATGAGCAAGACTTCTCATCTTTCACCAAGCTTAATGAGCCTTTAACCTTTGCAATGTCAAAGGGGTCCACTGCAAGGGTAGATTTTGTCCAATTCCTGAAGTTTGGCTTAAGAAAGTACACCATTCAAAACTCCAAACAACAACCTGGCTTTCCGGCTCAGAGCTTGTTTTTCATCATCATGGCTTTACTTTAAAGTGATACTAAAGTTTTTTTTTTTTTTTTTTTAACAGCATGTCATACTTACTTGCTCTTTTCAGTGGTTTTGCACAGAGCATCCCGGATCCCCCTCTTCTTAGGTCCCCTGATGGCACTTCTGGTCCCTCCCCTCCTGTCAGGTGCCTCCATAGCAAGCAGCTTGTTATGGGGGCACCCAAGCAGGTGCATTCCCGAGCCGCGTCTCTGCGTGTCCATTCATGCACAGAGCTGTGGCTCGGTACCGCCCCCTCCCTCTCTTGATTGGCTCACTGGACTTGACAGCAGCCAATGGCTCCCGCTGCTGCCTCAGCAAATCAGGAGTGAGTCCCCAGAGAACTGAGGCTCCCATGAACATCGCTGGATCGGGATGGGGCTCAGGCAAGTGTTAAAGGGGCTGCTACACACAGGTTTTTTTACCTTCATGCATGGAATGCATGAAGGTAAAAACCTGGAGCCTTTAGCGCAACTTTAATACGCCATTACCCCCAATGCAGAATGTTGCCCATTTGCTGGTAATCAGGGAATATGGGCCCTTGCAGCAGAGCCTTTTTGCTTACATTCCATCCTGATGCTGTCTGCTTCTGTCACTTCATGGCATCCTAGGCCTTGGGCTTTAGGAATTTCCTAATTTTCAAACCCATAATGGCACCCAACATTTTTCAACTTTTATCTGGTTTCCAACTACACACACTAACATTTTTATTTTTCAGAAAATTTCCATGACACCTAGTTTATGCGCTCTTTTCTTAATGAGACGGGAGGCTGTAAATGAATATCATTTCAGACTGATAGGTGAGTGGATAAGACTAACAGCAACAAACTATGCACAGATGTCTTCCTACGCAATCATAGGCCGATATATGGCTAGAATATCCCTATTAATGCTCTTTACCTTTATTTGCTTTTACGCCCCTAAACAGTACAGTAAAGAATAGAGTTTAGCACTAGAGTAATAAAAAAAATAAATAAAAAACATTAGACAACATATTCTATTGGTGAAATAACCCAGCCAATCCTCAATTGCAGAAAATGATAACATCCTGTTTAGGAAAATTACATTTTGCGCTTTATGACCTACATTTAAACCACTGAATAGAGTATGTTTTAGCAAACAGCTGCCTGCTCTCATTAAAGAAAGTAAATCTAATTTGTGAATAAAGAGATCAAGTGACCTTGATCACATGGATTTTAATTAGAAGCCTCCAAGCCTAGAATACAGAACAGCTTCCCAAGCTGCCTTTATCATAAATGTCCTTTAGCCACATCAGGATCTTCTATCATTTAAATTCTTATAAAACATAGCCAGATTAAAAAAAAAAAAAAAAAAGTTACTGATGGCACAGTTCTGAATTTGAATAATCTTGTTCCCATGCTGGACAGGTAGACGGCAGTTCCTAAGATAAGGAGGGCTCATTAGGATCTGCATCATAAGGTAAGCCAACAACAACAAATCTGAAAGAAATTTTCATTGGTCCAACAAAGTAACTACAGTATCTCACAGATATCTCACATTTCTGTAAATATTTTATTCTATCTTTTCATGTAACACTGAAGAAATTATACTTTGCTACAATTATTATTATTATACAGGATTTATATAGCTCCAACGGTTTGCTCAGCGCTTTACATTAAAGTGGGAGACAATACAGTAACAGTAAAGTTCAATACAAGAGGGATTTGAGGGCCCTGCTCCTTGGAGCTTACAATCTAGGAGGGAGGGGTGAATGGTACAATAGGTAATAACTGTGGGGGATGGAGTGGTTGGAAGAGTAGAGGATAGGTAGGTAGAGTAGGATAGGTAGGTAGAGTAGGTGATAGTCTGATAGATTGGGGTAGGGCGTTCCAGAGGATGGGCGACGCCCTTGAGAAGTCTTGGAGATCAGCATGGGAGGAGGAGATAAGGGAGCTAGAGAGTAGGAGGTCTTGCGAGGATCGGAGAGTATGGTTTGGGTGATATTTAGAGACAAGATCGGTTATGTAAATTGGGGCAGTGTTGTGGACAGCTTTATATGTCATTGTTAGTGCTTTGAATTTTATCCGTTGGGCAACTGGGAGCCAGTGGAGGGATTGGCAGAGAGGGGTGGCGGATACAGAACGGTTAGTAAGGTGGATGAGTCTGGCAGCAGCGTTCATGATAGACTGGAGTGGGGATAACCTGCGATGAGGAAGGCCAATGAGGAGGGAGTTACAATAGTCGAGGCGTGATATAACAAGGGAGTGAATAAGTTGCTTAGTGGTTTCCGGGGTTAGGAACGAACGTATCTTGAAGATGTTGCGGAGGTCTATCTTGAATGCTGCGGCCAGACTCATCCACCTTACTAACGGCTCCGTATCCGCCACCCCTCTCTACCAATTCCTCCACTGGCTTCCGATTGCCCAACGGATAAAATTCAAAAATACTAACATTGACATGTAAAGCTGTTCATAACACTGCCCCAAATTACATCACCGATCTGGTATCCCTATACCACCCAAAACGTACTCTCCGCTCCTTGCAAGACCTCCTACTCTCTAGTTCCCTGGTCTCCTCCTCCCATGCCCGTCTCCAGGACTACTTCAGGGCTTCCCCCATCCTCTGGAACTCCATACCCCAATCCATCAGACTATCACCTACTCTCCTCACCTTTAGGCACACTCTGAAAACCTCTCTCTTCAGGGAAGCCTACCCCACCCTCAGCTAATTACTGAACTCCTCCACTCTTCCTACCACTCCACCCCCCACAGCTATTTCCTCCTGTACCACTATCCCCTCCCTCCTAGATTGTAAGCTCCAAGGAGCAGGGCCCTCGAACCCCTCGTGTATTGACTCGTACTGCTACTGTACTGTCTTGTGTACTGTCTCCCATTATAATGTACAGCGCTGAGCAAACTGTTAGCGCTATATAAATCCTATATAATAATTAATAAAAGGTGAAGTCTACATGATTTTGTCAGCGATTGGATCTGGGGCTGGAAGGACAGATGGAAGTCTAGGATTACACCTAATACCCTGGCATGAGGGGATGGACTGATGATTGTGTTATCAATATTTATGGTGAAGTCAGTGGAGGTGGCACGGGCTGGGGGGAATACTAAAAGCTCAGTTTTGGAAAGGTTGAGTTTGAGGAAGTGGAGTGACATCCAAGCCGATATGTCACTTAGTAGGCTAGCGATGCGAGTGGAGACTGAAGGGGTGAGGTGAGGGGTAGACAGATAGATTTGCGTGTCATCAGCATAGAGATGGTAATTGAAGCCGTGGGAGTTTATCAAGTGACCAAGGGAGGAGGTGTAGATGGAGAAGAGAAGGGGTCCAAGGACAGAAACTTGAGGGACCCCTACAGAGATAGGGAATGAAGAGGAGGTGGCAAGCGTTTTAGGTAACACTGAAGGAGCATTGTGATAGATAGGAAGAGAACCAGGAGACAGTGGAGACTATGATGCCAAGAGAGTGTAGTTTTTTGAGGAGGAGGGGATGGTCAACCGTGTCAAAAGCCGCGGAAATGTCGAGTAGTAGGAGTATTGAATAGTGGCCATTGGTTTTAGCAGTTAGTAGGTCATTAGAGAGT